TGTGGGTCCATAATATAACTTGTTCTTCATGCTCCAAGGAATAGAACATAACCAAGAATAGCCACTAAGATCCACTGGATATAGGTATTTTTCAAACTCTAACTCTAAACCTAAGGTTTCAAATAACTTTCATTCTAGGCCATATGAAACCTCCAAAATTCATATATAAAGGCTTCATATGAACATAAGAAATCCTTAAAATTTTCATTAAAGTTGGTTCAATAAATAACCCGCAATAATAAAAAAGAGAATTCTTCAATAAATAACCCTAAAAATCGCATGGACAGTCCATAATGCATCGGATGCATTGTCCGATCCATCTAATTTGCGTCGTGCGCCACACGAGATTCCGCCCTACCATATCACGATCTTTGATCCAAGACCACGCTAGACCAACGGATGTGATCCATATTAACTACTTTAAGTGAACCCACCGTCACCCAACACATATAACTTCCAGCACCGCTACCAAATTGTGCCAACAAACCTTATGCTGACACATGTGATCGCCACCATCCAATGATTGCGCCACCACTGTGTCACTATCACCATTGCCTTTTTATTAAAATTCTTATTTAAATATAAAAAAATGCTTAGAAGTTTAAAGATTCATAGAAAATTCATTTCTGAACTAATTTTATGATCTTTGGCTCTATGGAACCAAGGTGACGAGCTATACATTTTAAAAATAAAATTAGAGTAATTTGACAAATATATGGAGAATAATTTGTATTTATGTGCTCAATAATTTTCTTTAATTGCTCTTAAACCATGTGTCATTTAGGGCTCAAATTTTGACAATGTAAACTAGGGGATGTTCCATACATCCCCTAAGTTTTCTTGGGTCTAATGAAACCATATTTAAGATGTGTATGGGTTTGATGCAACAGTTGTTCAGATGAATGTTTTGGCCATTGAAATGTTCATGTGACTTTATCTTTTGAGTTTAGTATTACTTACTGTTGACCTTCTTTTTGCTCAAACCCTTAGTCAAAGGTTTTGACTTGGTTAAATTGACCAGGTCAAGCCCCAAGACCACCTCCCTTGAGTTCAGTGGGTCAAACTAAGTCTACTGAGACCAGAACCTGGCCCTGGGTCAACCTGGTTGATCAGGTCAACCTGGGTTGACCCAAATTGACCTAAAACCCTTCCACTTGATTTCAAATCCATTGGAACTTCCTAGGCTCAATCTCTTACTTACCTTAGGCTTAATGGGTTAGACCACAGTGGTTGAGCTCAAACTCATGCCTTGGGTTAACCTAGTTGACCAGGTCAACCCAGGTTGATCCATTAAGCCCTATTAGGTCAATTCAAGTTCAATTCAATTTCAAACATCCCTTGAAATCGACCCCTTACCTATTTGAGTCTAATTGACAAAGCTGACCAAGTCAACCCTTAACTTGGTCAACCATAGTCTCATTTGGTCAAACTAGGCTTATTTAGGTTAATTCGAACCCTACTAATGGATTTAAATGTTTCCTAATGCTCCTTTGACTGAAATCCCATCCAAATCATCTTACCTCCTCACTAATTAACCATAAATATGATCTTAGCCGTTCATCAAAGGGCTAGGGTGATATATAAGGGTGTTAGGGTTTCTTTTAGAGGGGGTTTTTTGGCATTATTTCTATCCCTAGCCCCTCTCAACCCGAGATTTTTTCGTTCTCGAGTTCCCACAACCCTCCTCCATCTCTTCCAGGTTAAACCCCACCGGTCAAGGCCGCTGGTGATCGAATTCCGGCCACCTAAAGCCAATATCCATCTAAGGCTCGTTCTAAGCAATCTATAGCTTATTAAACTGAGGATTCAAGAGTAAAAACGTATGAGGACAATCTACAAGCTAAACTGTGCCAAGATCCCGAAGATCCAACGGTAAAATCTCTAAAAAAAAAACTTAACCTAGGTCACTACACATAGGGTTAAATAACTTTTTACACATCGCATATCAGGCTGTGAGAAAGCTTCCCCAGGATTTCTGTTCATGTGCTTAATTTTTTTTTTAAAATTTCATTAAAATTATTGAGTATTTACGTAGAACAAAACTATTTTCATTTCTAGGGTTGATTCCACAAGCCGTTTGAGGGGTACGAAGTTCAGACCATTAATTTCAAGATCAACAGTCTGCGCTATGTCATTCTGCGGCTTGGACAAACCACGGATCTGATCCCACGTGCGATCCTTTGATCTAGTGCAATCTAAGCCGTTGGATTGAGATGGCGGGTGATCCGACGGTTGGAGACGTTGCTAACTAGTTTAAATAGCTTGCGCGTCGGTCCCGCTACATCCATAATCATCGGACATTGATTGGTGGTGGCACCAATCATTGCCAATGATTGGGTGTTGCCACTGCATTTTGAACGGACTAATCCCGCCCTATCACGTGTCTCGGCGGCTATTTTATTTAAAAAATTAATTTTAAATCCCTTTATAAAATTAGAAAATTTCAAGAAATTATTTAAAATTATTTATAAATATAAAATATACATATAATATATCTTTTTTTCTCAAAAAAATCAGATTTTCATGTACAATACCTTGAAATTTTTAGAAAATTATGTATTTTCATTTAAAATAATTTTCAGAAGATATAAATTATTTTTATTATTAATTTATTCATTATTTAACTATTATTTAAATAAATAATATATTAATTATTCTTAAACTAAAAATTATTTTTAAAAATCCTTTTGAAACCTTCTTGGGTTGGCAGTCGATCTCACATAAATATGAACATGAAACTATTTTTTTTTATTACCATATTTTAAACTTATATAGTTGTGAAAGTATTTTAAAAGTGAGGCATTTCAAATACTCGGTACTTAAAGAGAAAAAGAAAGGCCTTTCATAGAGAATTTCTTATTCATTTGGGTACCTTTTTGGAGAACGAACCACACGGAGCCCGAAGGAGACGATCCAAAGGGAGACAATCCAGAGAAGGATGATCTACTCGAAGATGAAGATTTAAAGATGAAATTCCTCATTTTTAAGACTTGCGTCAATCAGTAGGATTATAATCCAGGTTGTTATCAGTGGATCCTAACTACTATTACTTTTCTACAAACCCTGAGTTATATTTATACGACATTTGCTGTAGACTTTCTTTACTCTATTATGGGTTGATTTATATTAATGTGTTTACATTGATTGCGTAGTAGAAATTGCATGCTTTTCTTAGATTTCTTTTTTGCATGTGCTTAATTGGCCAATTTTTGCTAGGCTCCCTAGAATAATTTTTTTTTCTAATCGCAATCAAATTTTAACATTTTAAGAATTAAATAACTTAAAAATCTAATGACCTAGGGAATAGCCAGAAGCATCCGGGGTTGCATGCATATTACTGAATCCTTCTCTCCCCTTATAATAAGACACTTTCCCGCATATGGGTAGAGTCCGAATCATCTGGCCTATGAGAATGAGGTGCTAGACCTGGGGAAGTCTAGTTTTTTTTTTTAAATATTTTTTATAAACATAATTTTAAAATCTCATGCATACCTAATTTGGACCTTTAAACTAGCATATATTGCATTAAAAATCAACTTAATTAAAATTTAATTGCATTATCTCTAAGAGCATTTTTCATATATAAGTCCAAGGCCGATTATGAAACTCTCTAGACATTTATCTTACTTCCAAAAACTTATCTATCCATCCATCTTTCATAAAGACTGGACAACATGGATTTTACATGCCTGGGTGGTTAGATAGCTTTCCTTTTCAGGCAGGATATAAGCCAGATGTATTAGTTAGGATACAGATGTTAGTGTTGGGTAGAACACTAAATCCATCTTAGATTTATGGTTCAAGGCTACTACACTAGGTGTCTCGTATTATGCCTCATCGGTGAGTAAGTCTCCTTTTCTTTAGGGGCTATAAATCCTACGAATCTGCGTCACATGGATGATGCCTCTTCTATCATTTTCCTCTGTATGTTTTGAGTGTATGATTTTCTTTCTTCTAAGTGCTTTAGTCCCTCTGGATGTCAATGTGAACCGTGCATGTTGACTAAGCCACTTGGACCATTTCTTTTCTTTTGAGCAGGATTTTTTAGTCTCCCTACCTCACCATGCATAAAATAATGTGCATAGGTATTTGTGCATTTGCTTTAAATTTATTGTATTTTCTTAACCATATTAGAACAATATGCACGAGTATGTAATTTTGAAATTCCCTTGTATGCTAAGAAAAGTGCACAATGCTTACTTCTTCGGAGGCAAGTGTATTCAATTTGTGAGTATTCGTGCACGAAATGACCTTATTATAAGGATTATATTTCTATTTGAGAAACATGCTAAAAAATTTATCTCATATGAAATTACTCTAAACGAGGGATAACCTATTCGTAGACTATTAATTAAACTTATATGTCATTCAAAATTGATTAGAACCAATTTAAATTTGGCTTAATTCAAACTTATTTGAACCAAAGTTCATATCATTTGTCATTCTCACCACAATAGTTTGAGACTATCCCGTCGTTGTTTGCCTCCAGGGACGTCGTTAGTCCCATCGATGCTTTCGCTTAATGTGCTCTCAATGCAAACCCCTATTCTCTTTTATACACTGTTGGTCCCATCAATACCTACTTGTAGCATAATCCTGATGATACTTTTTCGTGTGATTTTAATCGAGGCTTGAATTAGAATCATACATGAATTTGAAATTGAACCAATTTGAAAACTTCAACTTAAATCAATAATTTATAAATATAAAAATAAAATTTCATCTAAAATAAAATTTAAGTCATATTTGTTCAATTTTGACCAATTACTTACGTAAAAGATATAAAAATTAAATTTTCATGCATGCCGGATGGATGGCAACTTCTTAAAAGAGGGTTGGAATTATAAATTATAAATATTTAAAAAATTTATAAGTAGTCTAAAAATTTATGCCTCGGTAATCTCTTTAAAAAAATATCCAAAATGGTTGGCTAAATATGGCGACGTGTGGAAAAAAAAAATTATATATATATAATTATATATATATATAGGCGGAAGAAGGGCGAAGTAGAGCGAGGTTAGAAGAAGAAGAGAGAGAGAGAGAGAAAAGAAGGAAAAGCAAGAATCAGAAATATGGAATGTGGCTGATCAGGTCAAGGAAGACTAGGAAGTCCTGGACGATAAGTTTGAAATCGAATCCGTATGATACAGATCTCTCACTCTCATGACCTCTCTCCTCAACCCTTTTTGACCCCTTCCAAAAGCCCGTCTCCATTCCTCCCAACCCGAGGTAATCCTTTGAGATTCTCTTTCTACGGCCGGCACAAATTACTTTCTCGTTTAATGCATCACATCGATTGATTCTAGAGATCTTCTCGCGAAGCATTTTTGACCGATTTTGTTGGGCTTTGGCGATTTCAAGGTGGATCTCTCCTGAATTTGTTATTTATTTTTGGGGGAAAGAGGGGAGGGGCGAAGATTCTATTGCCCAATAGGGTTTGTTGATTTGATTGTTTCGACGGAGCCGTCTATAGGAAACAGGGGAGTCGGCTGTCTGGCTGGTCTGGAGTGCATACTCGGCTTAATCAGGGCCCTAAACATGGGTTCCTGCATGTCGTCTGACGGCGGCGGAGGTAGCAGAAACAGCTTGACCCCATCGTCGCCGGGCCCCGGGTCAACTGGTGTGGGATCGAAGAAGGCGAGTAGGGTTGGGAGGAAGAGGCAGGGTTCTTCGCGGCACTCATCCTTTGAGGCGATAGATGGGGAGGATCAGATTCACCGAATTCCTGGAAGGATGTTTCTTAATGGTGCGAGTAAGGAAGCGTCCCTCTTCACCCAGCAAGGAAAGAAGGGGACTAATCAGGATGCCATGGTTGTTTGGGAGGTATGTTTTTTGGAATTATCCAGCTTTTTATTTGTTTTGCCGGAATTCTTGCTCATGTAGCTTATTGTTCTATAGTGTTTTATTTGTTAATTTTTAAATTTGAATCACTTGAGATGCTTTGGGAACAGTTAGTTTTTTTTTCCAGAATTGATGGATCATGTAATTTAAGCGCTTGGAGATGTTATTATGTTTCCTGCAGGCTTAAGCTGGTTCTATTCTAATAAGCAGATCAGTTCCTTTCCGAATTTTTGCATCCTAGTTTTTTTCCCCCTTTTTTAATCCTTTTTTAATCTTATTGCAGCAGATGTTGTTACTTTTGGAAACCTTTAACATCATTTTATGCTTGAAGTTTTATATATGGCAGGCATGCAAAGGCAGAAATCTGGTTGGTGGAGTTTTTGCTTTTTATTATTTTTCTTTTCTTTCTTTTCTGCTGTCTTGGCCCCCCAGAGATTCCACCTTGTTTGTCTTCTCCTCTATTACGGTAGTTTATTTTGATTTTTCGCCGGGGATGTGCTGTACATGAGTGGCTGTCATTTTTTTGTGGCAAAATATTTATGAGTCATTCATTTTGCGTTTGGCGATTTTAATCATTTATATTCTTCACCAAAATTGATGGGGTAGGGCATAGTGGAATTTTGGTTTAGGGTTTTTTTTAATGGTGATTTTAGGTTTTTAATGGAGTTTGTGCGTAGTAGATTTTTGGATGTGCAGGTTGTAGCGGTTGCATATGCAGATCAATATTATTAATGAGGTTGTTAATTAATATACTAATAATAAAATTAAAATTAACAATGATAATCTTAGTAATTCAGATAACTTACATAATAATAATAACAACATTATAAACAATATTTAATACATTTTTTAGAAAATAATATATACCACAATATTTTATCCACGTATATGCAACAACAACATCAAGCCTTTGTCCCACTACGTGGGGTCGGCTACATGAATCCTTTTTCGCCATTGTGTCTGTTAAAAGTCAAATTCTCATTTAAATCTAATAAAGAAAGATCATTTCTAATATTTTCTGACCAAGTCTTTTTAGGTCTACCTCTACCTTTCTTAACATAAGTCAAATTTAATTCCTCAAATTTCCTAACCAGGTCATCGGAAGGGCTCCGTTTAATGTGACCAAACCATCTAAGGCGTCTCTCTCTAATTTTATCTTCCACTGGAGCTACTCCAACCTATTCACGTATATGCTCATTTCATATCCTATCTCTAAGGGTAAAGCCACTCATCCACTTAAGCATCCTTATCTCAGCAACACTTAACTTAGTATTATGCTTCTCTTTTAATGGCCAACATTCGGCACCATAAAGCATTGCAGGTCTCACCACCATCTTATAGAATTTTCTCTTAAGTTTGACGGGGACTTTTCTATCGCACATCGAGCCCGATGCATTCCTCCACTTTAACCATCCAACTTGAATTTTGCTGATAATATCCTCATTTATTTCACAATCACTCTAAACAATAGATCTAAGATATCTAAAACGTGTATCTTATTAATGACTTGATCGCCTTAAGTCACAATCCCTTCACTAGGTCTATTGCTACTAAAATTATAGTCCATATATTCAGTTTTAGATCTACTCAAGCGAAAACCTTTAAACTCTAAAGTTGACATCCATAATTCAAGTTTACCTTCAACTCCCTCTCTAGTCTTATCAACAAGAAGAATATCATCAGTAAAAAGTATACAACAAGATACATGCTCTTGCAAATTTCTAGTGAGAACATCCATGACTAAAACAAAAAGATATGGACTTAAAGCTGATAGTTGATGTAATTCAACCGAAATAGGAAAATACTTGGTCAAACCACCTTGTGTTTGAACGCAATAAATAGCTCCTACATACATATCTTTAATGATTTGAATATAAGAATTATTAACTCTTTTCTTTTCAAGAACTCTCAATAGCACTTCTTTTGGAACTCAATAAATATCATACGTAGATCCTCCTTATTCTCTCTATATTTCTCCATAAAACCTCTCAATAAATGTATGGCTTCCATAATAGACATACCCGACATGAATTTAAATTGATTTTGAGAAACATTAGTATCACGCCGCAAGTTATGCTCCGTAACTCGCTCCCATAGTTTTAATGTATGACACATTAATTTAATTCCTCTATAATTTGCACACTCTTGTGCATCGCCTTTATTTCTTAAAAATAAGAATTAATACACTCATTCTCCACTGATCTGACATCTTTTTAGTCTTCAAAACAATATTAAAAAGTTTAGTAAGCCAAGAAATTCCTTCATCTCCTAAGCATTTCCACATTTTTATTGGAATATCATCAGGTCCAACAGCTTTTCCACACTTTATTTTCTTTAAAGCCTCACTAACTTTGATTTTACTAATACGCCGATAAAAATAAAAATCTTTATTCTCATTTAGGGTACTAAAGTCACTAAAGTTAATCGTCACATTCTTCATTAAAAAGTTTAGCAAAATCTCTCATCCATCTTTATTGGATATCATCTTTTAAGAAAAGTACATTTTAATTTTCATCCTTAATACACTTCACTTTAACTAAATCCTTACTACTCCTATCTTTTTGTTTGACTAACTTATACATATATATTTCTCCTTCTTTAGTATCTAATCTATTATATAAATCATTAAAAGCTAATCTCTTTGCATCACAAATAGTTTTTTTAGATTCCTTACGAGCCTCTCTATAACATTCCCAACTATCAGAATTTTTATATCTAAACTAATTTTTATAACAAATCTTTTTATTTTTTATCTTTTCTTACACATTTGAATTCCACCACCAACTATTTTTACTATTAGCAGTATTACCCTTCGAACTCTAGACACATCTTTTGCAATATTCTTAATATCACTAGCCACTTTTTCTCACATAACATTAACATTCTCATGCACAGACAAAATCTTAAGATCTAAAATCTTATTTTCAAAAATAGTTTTGTTAATATTCTTTAAATACCCCCACCTAATCCTAAAAAAATATTTTACTTTAGTTTTAATTTGTATCTAGTAATGATTTTAATAATAGTAATAATAATAACAAAGCTAGAAAATAATAAGAATATTATTAATCAATAAAATAAAACTAAGAAGAATAATAACTACTATAATCATAATAATATAGTTTGTAAAGCAAGAACAATGATAATACAATTAAGGGAAATTTATATACATACCACTTTATACCATCTTATTTACATATCTAACGTCCAAAAGGTCTGAGTCCATCTTGAGACAAAGAATATTTTTTATGTTGAAAACTTTGAAAGTGAATAATGGGGCTGGTTGAAATAATTTCACTATATAAATAGGGAGTTACAATGGTCCGCCATTCCCTCTTGTTAGAGAAGGAGGGATACAAGGTTTGAACTATTGGAGTGGTTTATTGTGAAGGTGATGGAGAATATTGTAAAATGGTTAAAGGTGATGGGAGTTGGTCAATAATAGATAAGGCGAAGGTGGGCGTCATTATCAGCTAACAGCAAAAAGGCGAAGGTGGTTGTCATTGTTGGTTGGCAATGGACAATGACTGACAATGAATGTCGATGTTGGTTGACGACTAGCAGTGAAAGATAGGAGAGCATAGGCACTGATATTGGACGGTTGGAGGCGACAAGAAATGTTGGCATCAATCGACGATGATCGAAGGTCGGTGATGTCAATTGATGGCTGGTGGTGTCAGCTGATGGTTGGCCATGGCGTCAGTTGATAGCATACCATGGATGTTGGGGTTGGTTGATAATAAGCGGACATTAGTATCGATTGACAAAGCTTTGGAATTCCCTTCTATGGGTCTAATGTTTCTCTTCCTCTTGAATCCTATTGTAATATATTTAAATAATGATTATTTATATATTAAATGATGGTGTTATAGTCATTTCTACTTGAATTCACGAATCCAATAAGCTATTTGAATTAATCGTTTTGATTATGCAGTATTTATTGGACATCTTAGTAACTTGATAATCTTGAAATTGGATGGTCTTAAGCTTGTCATAGTTGTCTCATCAAGATGCTTGTTTCTACTATAAGCATTTAGTTTGCAGTGGTCATTTGATCCTCTACATGGCCTCGATAAGTTTCTAAATCATGCTTATGAGTACTTGTTTGAGCCATTTTAGACTTGGATCAACCTAATCATGGTATCTTTTGATTGGTCTCACCAAATTGCATTGTTTTGAGTATACATTTGTTGAGCGGAGTTTAAACAATCTCAGAATAGTTTGTTGAAATTGGCCTCTATGAGATTTAAATCTTCATCAAAATCCATTTTTTTAGATGAAGGTTCTTGTAATATTTTAGGTTACCACAATTTTTCAGGCATTAAAATCCGTGAATCAAGAAATACTTTGGGACATGAAAATGTTGAGATGCAAAATCATAATTGGGGTAAATTTCAAGGCATGAAAATTCCCTATATAGTAATGTGAATCTCTATATGGGCTATGAACCAATTAATACTTTTTTACTCGTAATTTCTTTTGGGATAGTAATCATTGAAAAAAAAAAATTTTTTTGACTCCAATTTCTCCAAAATGTCTTGAAAGTGCTCCAAAGACTTTGTTGAAGTTAGAAAGTGTTAAATTGACTTCAAAATGTTGAAAAATGATCCAATAAAACACAATGCCTAAAAAATATAATTTATGATTAATGTTATGTAAATATAATTGATTATTATTAAGCACTTAATGCAAATTTCACACACTTTATTTCTTTAGGTGTCTTGTTCTTTTGTTTTCTTAAAATATGAAATTCTGTGTTTGTAAAGAGAGTGCCTAATAAAATTCGCAGAATACTTCATTACTACCAAGCTAGCTAGTATGTAAAATCATTATTGTTTGAAGTCGGCATAATTGATGATAACTTGGCATAAATATCAAGCAAAAGAAGCACAATAAGGGTTCACTTCTAAAATTTCTTGCTATGGAACAAAATCATATATTATTATTATTATTATTATTATTATTATTATTATTATTATTAA